TGGAATCTCATTGGGTTACTTAGTAAGTTGCTTCCTTGCAGCCCTACCTATTTCACACTGTTGCTATGCTAAAAATAGAGGAAGGGAAGCTATGTTCACTGCCACGAACCTCTGGACAGAAACATACTCTGAATTATATGAAATAATTGAAATATGCCAATTATAATGCCTAAAAAAAGAAGGCTGGGGCTGAAACTTTGACTTCATGGTGTAAGAAACCATGATGAACAGAATAATACTGTAGATACTTCCTTCTGTGAATATACTGCAACCCTTTATTAAGGAATATTTTCAGCAAGGATCACAGAGGTTGCCAAAGAGGTTTGACATGGAGACAAAAAAGGTTCTTGAGGTGATAGCGGAAGTTAACTATCTAGCTGTTTACAGATTAGGCTACTGCTGCAATAAAATCAACCCTTAAATATGTTCCATCAGTTACAGAATTAAAAACAATAACAGTGAGTATTAAAACAAACTCTTATAAAAACATAGGTGGAAGGCAGGTTAGATCAGAACACTTGCTGCACATATCAATTGCTCATAAGAGAACAACAGAAGGGAGAGGAAATTTCTATCAGAAAAACAGAGTTGGAAGGGACCTTGGAGGTCTTCTAGACCAACCCCCTGCACTAGCAGGAGACCCTATATTATTCTTGTCCAATCTCTTCTTAAAAACCTCCAGTGATGGAGTATCTAAAACTTCTGAAGGCAACCTGTTCTACTGGTTAATTGTTCTCACTATCAGGAAATTTCTCCTTAGTTGTAGGTTGCTTCTCTCTTTGATTAGTTTCCATCCATTGCTTCTTGTCTTGCCTTCTGGTGTTTTGGAAAATAGATTGATCCCCTCTTCTTTGTGGCAGCCTCTCAAATACTGGAACACTGCTCTCCTGTCATCCCTAGTTCTTCTTTTCCCTAGACTAGCTATACCTAATTCCTGCAACCGTTCTTTACATGTTTTTAGCCCCCACTCTCCTAATTATCTTTTTTGCTCTTCTCTGCAGTTTCCAGACTCTCAATGCCTTTTTTATAGTGCAGTGATCAAAATTGAATGCAGGATTCCAAGTGTGGTCTTACCAAGTCCTCATAACGCAGTACTAACACTTTTATCCCTCTGTTAATGCAGCCTAAAACATTGGCTTTTTTGGCAACTGCAGTATATTGCTGGCTCTTATTTAAGTGATTGTCCACTAGGACTCCAAGATCCCTCCCGCTGTTACTACTATTGAGCCAAGTTTCACCTAATCTATACCTGTCAACTCTGGCAAGATCCATCTGAATCTTGAGCCTATATTCTGGAGTATTGGCTATTTCTGCCAGCTTGGTGTTATCTGCACACTTGATGAGTTCCCCTTCTATTCCCTCATCTGTTTATGAAGATATAGAATAGAATAGAATAGAATAGAATAGAATAGAATAGAATAGAATAGAATAGAATACTTTATTGGCCAAGTGTGATTGGACACACAAGGAATTTGTCTTGGTGTAAATACTCTCAGTATACATAAAGAAAAGGTACATCCGTTAAGAATCAAGAATCATAACGTACAACATTTAATGAGAATCATAGGGTACAATCAACAATCAAATCATACTAGGAAACAGTCAATATAAATCGTAAGGATACAAGCAACAAAGTTACAGTCCTACAATCACAAGTGGGAGGGGATGGGTGATAAGGAGTGATGAGAAGATTAACAGTAATAGTAGTGTACACTTTATAAATAGTTGAACAGTGTTGAAGGAATTATTTGTTTAGCAGAGTGATGGCTTTTGGGAAAAAAACTGTTGTGTCGAGTTGTTCTGGTATGCAGTGCTCTATAGAGTCGTTTTGAGGGAAGGAGTTGAAACAGTTTATGTCCAGGATGTGAGGGATCTGTAAATATTTTCAGTCCTCTTTTTGACTCGTGCAGTATACAGGTCCTCAATTGAAGAGTACTGGGCCTAAAACAGAACCTTGGGATACCTAACTGCTTACTTCCCTCCATGTAGATAGTAGTTCCCTTAAGGACTACACGTTGAATGCTGATTTGTCAGCCAGTTAAAATCCATCAAATTTTGATGCTGTTTATCCCACATTTTTCTAGTTTAATAGTTATAATCTACTTTGTCAAACGCCTTACTGAAATCCAAGTATACTATGTCTCCTGCATTTTGCTGGTCCACTAATTTAGTCACATTATCAAAGAATGAAATAAGATTTGTTTGGCATCATCTATTTTTGATATATTTATCTTCTGATTATAACTTTGTTTGCTTCTAGGTGTTTGCAGATCTTTTCCAGCATTTTCCAAGGTATTGATGTCAGACTGATTGGTCTGTAGTTGCCTGGATCAGTTCCCCCACTCCCACCATATGTGAGACGGGAACCATATCAGTTCTTTTCCAGTCCTCTGGTAGTTGCCCAGTGTTCCAGGATCTTTGAAAGATATGAGTCAATAGTTCCGCGATCACGTCTGCCACCTCCTTCAGAACCCTGGGATGTAATCCATCAAGTCCTGGTGATCTGAACTCATCTAGAGTAGGCAGGTGTTCTCCTACCATACCCTTTTCTATTTTAATTTGAATTCCTAATCTTCCATGGGTCTGTTTTTGGTAGGTTGAACTATTTTTGTGTGTGTATCCGTGTGAAGACAGATGCAAAGAAAGAATTAAGCAGCTCTGCTTTCTCCCTGCTGCCTGTCAACTCCTTGCCATCTTCCCCCATTAGTGAACTGATTGGTTCTTTTTTTTAAATCTTTTATAGGTTGAAAGAAACTTTTATTATTATTTTTTTAACATTTGTTGCAAGTCTTACTTCATTCTGAGCCTGACTTCATCTTTGCAGATTTGGGCTATATACTGCCTATATTTGGGAATAAGAATATGTAACATTTTACTCCATGTAATCCTCGGTTTACAGCAGTTCATTTAGTGATGGTTCAAAGTTACAGTAACACTGAAAAAAGTGCCATGATCATTTTTCACACTTGCAATTATTGCAGCATCCCTATGGTCACATGAACAAAATTCAGACGCTTGGCAAATGACTCATATTTATGACAGTTGCAGTGTCCTGGAGCCATGTGATCATTGTTTGTAACCTTCTGATGAGAAAAGTCAATGGAGAGGTCAGATTCATTTAACAACCATGTTAGTAACTTAAGAACTGCAGTGATTCGCTTAACAACTGTGGCAAGAAAAGTTGTATTAAGCCAGGGAAAGAACTCAATTGGCAAATGGTATTAAGTGCATTGACTTTTACCCAAATATGTTCCCTGATGCACAGTTAAAAAAGAGGAGACTTTAGGATGCTTTATGCTGGTCCTAATGATTCCCACCCAGTTTAAGAGAACTGAAGATTACGGTCATACTTCAATAAGAAGCAAAGTTGTTCTTACTATTATGATGCCCTCTGGTGAGCTCCCATATCCAATACACAGGAGTAGGATTACAACAGATAGGTTGATCATTAGAAGGGAACATCTCCTCAAAATCAGGCTTTTAGCTTATAACTTATGCTTGCAAAATAGTTTCCATCTAATGCAGGGGTGTCAAACTTGCGTCGTCACAGCATCGTTACATGACGTATCAGGAGTTTTTTCCCCTTGGCTAAACTGCATGGGAACATGGCCAGCACATGATGCATCTGGCCCATGAGCCGCTACTTTGACACCCCTGATCATTTTTCAAACTTGGCCACCTTAAATTGGCTGCCTGGAGAATTCTGGGAGTTGAAGCCCACACAGCTTAGATGGCCAAATTTGAGAAACACTTTAACTACACATCATTATGTTGAGATGTCTATCATTTGCTTGCAATCACCCTGGAATCAATCATATCTCCTTCAAAATGAGATTGACTTCCAAATGAACTTTTAATCCTATGCAGGATCCTAGAAGAATGAAATAAAAAAAAATTGTTCCAAAAATTCATTTTGTTTTATATAGCATATAAAAAATTCCAATTTCAATCAAACAGTGCATTGTCCAGGTACAATGTTTTTAGGTTATAATAAAGATGTTTACAACAATATTCATATTATATTGATGTTAATTATAGTAGTACCAATAATATTATTTACTTAACTAATCCAATATGCCTTTCTTAAATCACTGATCCTATCCAACTATTTCCCTGCATCTATAGCTCCTGTTTTTTTCAGCTAGCCATTGATAAAATAAATCCCAACGCAAAAAGTATTCAGTTTTTTCCTTCTTTTCGATTATAAATATTAGAATGTGCAGAAATGGATAGGCTAACACTTGTAGTTCTTAAATAAACAAATTAATATTTATTTACTTAATTTATATTGCTGCCTATTCACCCATGGCGACTCGAGACGGCTTACACAATGTAAAATCAGATTTAAAATAAAAAATAACTTATTTAATAAAATAAATGAATGAATCCTAACTGCGACACTACCATCATTGGTTGAGTTTTGTGTGCCAATGTCTCCTGAAGAATTCCTCATGTTCAACTCCAGTGGGAAACTTGTGAGTGCCAGGCCAAATTTGCTCAGCAGTCCGTCCCAAGCGAGGCCACAGAACCGCTTGGAGGCCCGGGGCTTCCTTGCACAAGCCACCTCCGTAGTGGGCCGAGACCAGGGAACCGCATTACAGCTCGTACCCACTGGGACAATCCGGTAAAATCCAGCGCATGGCCACGAACCGGATAAAGACTAGAGGGCAGCGAAGAACCACCTGCCTGCCTGCTTCCCTGGAGTGGCCTCAGGGGGGATTCGCAGGGCAGCCCGGTTAGGCGCTCGCCGGCCCCGCAGCAGAGCCAGGCCGGCTTGGGGCTCGCAGGTGCTGCTCCGGCCCTCAGCGGAACCCGGCCAGCGCCCGAGATCCATGCCGAGCGGGCCCCGCGGCCAAAGTCGGCGAGGATTGCCCCAGCAGAAGCGGGAGGAAACGTTGCCCCGTGCCGCCCTCCGCCGCCTCTCCCTCAGGCGAACTAGGAAGGCCGGCCTACCCCGTGCAGCGCCTCCCGTCCTATCGGGGCCCTCCGCGAACTGGAAAGGGCGCTTGCGCGTTACACGCGCCAAGCCGGCGCTTCTGGGCCTTTTTCCCGCCCTCTCACCCTGTCGCGTTTGTAAGCCCGGCCGGCCGGCAAGCCTCGCCGCGGTCCACTCCCGAGAAAGGGAGGGACGCGTAGCAACCACGGTGAGTCCAGCCCTGGCGGGGTGTTTCCCGGCGCGGAGAGGAGAGGAGGCCGCGGGCTGCGAGGGAAGGCGCGGGTGGAGCCGTGTCTGGCCGGAGAGGAGGTTTGGGAGGACGGCTCGGCGGGGCGTCTCTCCTCCTTCTAGGGCGCTCGGAGGGGCAATCCGGGGGAGAGAGAGAGCTCATCGCCGGCTGCTCCCCTTCTTTCCGCCCCGGCGGCGAGGCCTTCTGGGCAGAGGACAGGCCGAGCCAGGACTTCAGGCAGCTCGACTTCTTTCCCTCTTTTATTTAAGGGAAGGGAAGGACCCCTTTCCTAAAATTTTGCAGGCCCCGTTGGACCCGCAGATCGCGGATATAGCAGTACTGTGGGCGAAGAAGGGAGCCAGAAAAGGGTAAAGCTCGGCTCCCCGCTCCCTCCAGTTAAAATTAGAGGAGAAAGCTGTGGGTTACTCCTAGCCATGTTATTAAGGGTACCCTATTAAGGGCAGCCTCCAAATGGCTGGAGAAGGCGAAGGGGGACGTAGGCTCATCGCGTTTATCTTGTTGGACATGTTTCCCCCCCCCCACAGGCTTCTGTTTGGCTACTGGGAAGCGTTGGGATGGACGCGCCTTTCCTTTCATTGGAAACTGTCCTGCTTGTGATTGTCTTCCTCCCAATGGGCCAAAAATCCAGGCTGCTTTATTTATGGGCAAATGCCTGCAATGCTTTTCGTTTTCCTTCCACAAGTAAAATGGCTGCAGAGGGTTCTTTGGGGGAATGAAAAGTGAAAGCTGAAGAAAAAGGGTAAAATACCATTGAGGGGGCGGCAGAATCCCATAGTGATGTGAAAGGCTGTTGTTTGATAAATCATGTTAGCCCAACTTTTTGATTTAGAAGTAGGTCACAATTGCTTTTAGCAAAGGTTGTTTTTAAGTAAGGGAACATTCAGTTGCAGTTCAATCTTTGCTTCTCTTGTATTTTCATTAGTCTCAGCTACAGCACCTGAAACTTTTGCTTGGGACCTGGGTTGTGAAATATAAGAAAGGTGTTGTCTAATATTTCTTCTGGCACTGGCATTCTTCCAAAGTATACAGAAGTGTTTTGTATATCATATTACTTCAGGTTATTCCCATCCCCGAGTCCCATTATGCTTGAAAACGTACTTGCACAAAAGTGTGTATAGTTGTATAATCTCAGATTTCACTAATCTAATGCTCTTTTTATGACAGACCTTCCCATTAATATGTAATAATTGAAATCACAGAAATATCCCATCAAAGTATTTCTCCTTTTTCTTTCTACACAGGTGTTTAATATATTAAGTATTAGTATATTGTTCAGAATGGCTCTTTAATTCTCAGCTACCAACATTAAGTTAAAACAGAAATGAGTTTGGGATAGGGATAGGGTTGGGGCCTGTAAATTCAGATAGGAAGATCAATTGTGCTCTAGGTCTTTACTATTCTTCGTATTCACTGTTTAATTCCAGAACGTAGAATTCAATTCAAAATAAAATTATATATATCTATAACTATATATCTGTATGTATGTATGGTATTCAGCTTTGTTCGGGTATTTTCCCACGTCATTATAGTTTAAAAGCACAACTATAATGACATGGGAAAATACCCGAACAAAGCTGAATACCATACATGTAAGTACCCGTGAAAACTTAAGAAAACATACATACATACATATATTTGTGTGTGTGTGTGTGTGTGTGTATATGAGAGTCTATATATATAGACTATATATATGCTGACTATAATATTTTTCTGATTCTGTGTAAATGAAACCTAAAGCTGCTACCATTAAATCCATGTCTGCAGTTGCACCTAATAGTCACATCAACACTCCCAGAGATCTGTTTTCTTCAGTAGATACTCCTATTTTTCTGGGTCAAGAACACTAATATATGATACTACCCATACTTATATGGATGATCAGTTATATAGCACAATGACACATTTACACAAGTAATGAGAACTATTACTCCTGTAAGAACAGTGTTAATTGGTGAAATATGCCGAGCTAAGACTTGGGAATGTCAAGCTGAAACTAAGGGATATTTGGGGTAGACATGAGAGATTTTGGAACAAGGAGCAGTAATTTAAAATAAACAACATTTTGACTTTTAAAGTAGACATTTCAGAATCTCTCTTTTTGCTGGGTTTATCCTGAAGTTGGCAGTTATTTGTTGACTCTCTTATGAATACTAATTGCCTCTAGTTACCAAGATTATATTAATGCTTTAAAAAAGAAATAAAATGTGTAAAAATTTTATGTAATAATAAACTTAAAATATCAATACATATATTTTTAAAAGGTGATAGAATGAAGGTATTCTTCTCATTTCAATTTTGATCTTACATAATGAATGGAGATAATTCATCTTTAATAAAGTTGTGCAATGTAAGTGATGTTGCAATAATGATTCATCATACACTGTATGCTTCTGGAAAGCTCTAGGTTTGTGCAGAAGATCTTTTCAGAATTCTTAGGTATATGAATAAAATCTGGAAATGGAACAGAACTGTTAACCAGATTTATTCTACTTATTATTTTGTGTGCTAAGAGATTTTTGTAAATGTTTAGCAAAGGCAAACAAATATTTACAGAGCATTTATAAAAGTTAATTCAGTGAGGGCACCTGTTTTCAGCATTTTATACTGCGTATCCTAAGGGAGTTTAACTCTTCTTAAGAGGGCATGTAGTATTCTCTCTGGCAAAAATGATATTTTTTTTAAAAAAAGCGACTGCTACAGCACTGTTTCTCAACTTCAGCAGTTTTAAGATGTGTTGTCTTCAATTCCCAGAATCCTGGGAAGTTAAAATCTACACAGTTTAAAATGACTAAGATTAAAAAATGTTTACACCATGCTATATTAGAACCCTTTCTTATCTGTAAGGGACCAGTGGTATTGATAGAAATGTTTATAAATGTTTTGTAAGATATTTTAAAATATAGGAATAGATTTTTATAGGTGTTATGACGTGTAGAATTTTGGATAATTATATGTAAATCCCAATTTACCTAAAACTTCTCTTTTTCAAGAATCCATATATTATTTTTCAACAGGACTTTATCTTATCACTTTTTTGTTTTTACATGTGTTTGCTATTGCTTCTTAAATGAACTTTGTACTTTTATCTAATCCAGGGCTCGCCAACCTTTTGGACCTCAGGGACCAACAAACTCATAATTTTAATTCCCACAGACCACTAATATGAATTTTGACTGATGGTGGCTTGGTGACGTTTTCCCAGGTCTCTGAAGAAAGCAGTAGAGACCCCTGGAAAAATCCCCCAAAAAGTCTGCAGGAAAATTCCCCACCCCATTTTCCTACCAATCAATCATTATTTGGGATGGCAAGATACCATCTCCAGCTCCGTTCTCGGGGGTGCAGGAGAGGAGAGAGTGGGAGACTAACTGACTTTTGGTTTCATGCAAGGAAAGCAGCAGAAATCTTTCTTTCTCTCCCCCAAACTCCACCAGAAATGAGTCTTTGTGAGACTTGTTGCACCGGTGCAGCCTCTTGGAGCAGGATGCCTTGCAGGGTCCCAAAGGCTCGTTTCTGGTGGAGTTTGGGGGAGAGAAAGAAAGACTTCTGCTGCTTTCCTTGCATGTAGCCAAAAGCAGAAGAAGCAGAAAGAAGCAGCCCAGTGGCCAGGCCAGGTGTGGGGCAAGTTCCCCCCCTTCACCCTTTCCCCCCTCCCTTCACTACCTTGTGTTGTTCACAACGCAGGTGACGCAAGCCTTGTGTTCCCACAGGCCATGTGGGTGGTTCAGCCTTGTATTCCCATGCAGCCTGGATTAATTGGGGGGTGCTTTGGGGGTGACATTTCTCTGTGGACCACAAAATTTTCTCATGGACCACCAGTGGTCCCCGGCCCACTGGTTGGTGACCACTGATCTAGTCATCATATTGCAAAATTACTCTTTACTAAGTTGTTTGAGAGAGATGAGTTTTTAACAATAATAACCATGCTACGAGTTGCAAAATTGGTTTTTTTTAATGCGTTTGATTATTATTTCCCTGGAGCTGTGATACAGTAGTATTATAGAGAGGAAGAAACTTTATCCATTGCAGTACAGAATAGGGCTTGTTTTTTTAATTTGTATTTTATCTTTTCTAATAAATTTCTTGCTAATTAAATGGAGGTCATAAATTTATAATTTCATTGAGAAAATCTTTTTAAAAATTCCCTATTAATCAAAAAGTTAATTTGCAGATTATTTACTGAGAGTTGGACAAATTTGAATTCCATTAATGTGTATCTGATTAATTTTTTTTGCAACAGATTCAAATTGTACGTGCAGTTGTTGATATGAATGCATAAATACTGCTATGCACTCCTCAAGGCAACGCCATTTTAAATGTCTCCTAAATGTGGTAGGATTGAGTTAATTACTTTCTGTGTTTCAATCTAAAGCAATATTTGAATCATATTTAGCTAGGAATAAATATGTAAGATTCTAGGTTTGAGCAGAAATTGGCTCAGATTGGAGTTATAGGCCATATGAGTTATAGGATAATATTTCCATGTCTCCAAAATATCTTGTTATTTCTGGCATGTTCTCATACCAATTTCTGATTCTAAATTGTAAACTGTAGTCCATTTTCTATTAACCTGTACAATATACAGCATTTCAGATTTAAAATGTAAAAAAAAAATTGATAAAGTTCTTTGAATTATAATCTGTTTGAGAGATGAGGACTCTTGGAAGTTTTTTAGGTGAGAATATCCCATGAACTATAGTTAATTGCTATAACTAGTTTTGATTCAGGCTTAATTTTTAATTTTTGAAAGTGCCTAAACAATCACTGCAGCAGAATTCCTTCTATACGCAGTTTTAAATTTAGGAAAACTAGTCCATAGCACCAGTTTCCTATTTTGTGCCCAGAGCATATCCAAGAACACTTCAAAAGTTGTTCTGTGTTTCCCAAATACTGCTTGGCAGTTAGGTGGACTCCTTTATGAATGTTCAGTTGTGTATATAGTTAAGTTAGGGAAAAAGTTTTTATGGGTGTTTAATATTATACAAGTATTTGATTTGTGTTTTTCCTTTCTGTCTGAAAGAACATTCAAGGCAACTTGTAATTAAAACAATGCAAACAAATATATCCATGTGTATGTGTGGTGTGTGTAGTCATATATACACATACATAAACATAGATTAAATCACAAACAATTGCCATTTAATGTCCAGCTGTTCCTAAAGAAGACTGAATGTCAAGCATAGCTTCTGAGAAAGTACATTTCCCAGATTGGAATCAATGCAGAAAAGGGCTTTTTTGACCAGGCTAGATAAATAAGCTTTGGAATAGAGGAACTTTAAAAGGCTTCGTCTGGAGATTAGTGCCGAAGCGGTTTCATTATGGCAGAGGTGATCCCTCTTATAATCAGTTCTAAGCTGTTTATGGTTTTAAAAGTTAATAATGGAAAACATTTGGCTATTCGGAACAATTATCCAGTATAGGCATTTCCCTACACAATTATTTTCAGAGCTTTAACACCAGTCCCCCCAAATTGGATTACATAATTTGAAAATCCTTGAAAAGCATTATTCAAGCTCTGGCTTAACATAATTTGTGATGATTGCCCTATATTTTTTTGTTATATTCTTTTTGCTTCTGTTTAGTTAATATACGTATATAATTAAAAGTTGTAGGATCTAACATTATGAATTATTAAACTGGTTTAGGCTTATTGTTAAATATCTTAATTAGTGTTCTGTTTGTGGTTTCCTGTGATATGTTTGAATTCTTTGGGTGTTTTTTTTTGTTTTTGAAGTAGAAAAATTAATGCTTTATTGTTCTAGAACACTAAACATACTCAGTTTGTGAAAGGTAGAATGCAATTAAACAAATTACCCTTTGGCTTGGTCATGCCTAAGTTTTCTGACATATCCTCTAAAAAACCAATTTACTTTAGCAATAACATAGCAACCATACACTTAGGATAATTGTGAGAGCAATTTTTTTAAATTCACATAATTATTTGAAATAGTTAAACACTTTTTTGGCTCCATTAAGTCATTGTTAACTCCTATCCACTATCCCTGTTGTGATTGGCTGAAGGCACCAAGGTGGCTTTGTGCTCATTCTGCCTTCTAGCCAGATACCTTAACCAGATACATACAGTCATATTTAAAGTTACATATTTTGCTATCGTTCTGAAGATATAAATTCAAAAATTCTTGCAGTCTTTTTATTTGGGTCGTAAAAATTGAGGGGTGAAAATAGTGTACTTTGATATAAATGCTAACCTTCTTGGCTTACCTTTTTCTTCTGTGACAGTAATGCTGGTGGAACGCTTTTGCAGATTGAAATTGGCAGACTATTGAAAGGACTTGCAACATGTTATGTTGGGGAAATGCATCTTTTGGACAACTTGGATTGGGCGGTATTGACGAAGAAATTGTCCTGGAACCCAGAATGTGCAGCTTCTTTGTAAACAAAAAAGTTCAAGATGTCGGCTGTGGACTGAGGCATACTGTGTTTGTATTGGATGATGGGACTGTGTATACCTGTGGATGTAATGATTTAGGACAGTTAGGCCATGAAAAATCTAGAAAACGACCAGGTAAGATAAAAAATAATGTTGGTTGTATCCTATACGGTTTTGATTCTAAATTTTGGTACCAAATTTGCACACATGAAACCATGTAATTAATTTATAACATCAAAATAATCCATATTTAATAAGCTTTACCACGATTTTTTAAATGGATGATTATGTAGGGACGTTAGGATTTTGAAAATACTATATTTGAAGAACCTTATCTCCAACTAATCTTATGTTTAAATTTTTCATGGTGGTATTTTTTCATCCTGGACATCATTTTGAAAATTGATGATTTGTACCAGGAAAGGTATATAGTACTCTTAAGGTGGATGGGGCTGATACAGTTTCCTTTTATGAAATGCTTGATGTAAAAGATCCTTCTCTACGTGACATTTTTGTATATGTCCTTCCCAGTTCAGTATCCACATGTATTTTAAAAGGGAAAAAAAACACTCTATTTTTTGTTTACTATACTTGAATTAAATTCAGCAAATTTAAGTTTAGAAGTTGAACATTTGATAAAACAGCAAGCACCTAGATGCTTTGGAAGATCCCATATATCAATGGTAGTGATAAAATAAAATTTGCATGGCTTTACCCTATAAAAGTAATCCATCAGCTTCCACAGAATTATTTTCTAGGGAAGTATGGCACTTTAATAGTTCTATAAAGGTTTTGGCTGATCTGCATAATAGATCCTTAATAGATTCTTTTTTTAACCTTTATATCAGAGTCTCTTGAGTGAAATCTTAGTATCATACTGTATTTGAGGAAAATTATAGAAATGACAAAATGCTTTATTATAGCTTGGAACATTTTGGAAGGATGAATCTTCTATTCAGTTTTGCTTTCTAGGAAGGGTAAGCAGGTATAGTTTTCATTCTTAAATCCTGATGTGTATTTCAGGTAGTCCCTGACTTGGAATTGGTTGTTAAACCAGTTACAGTGGCCTCAGAAAGGGTGCTTTACAGTTGGTTGCCAAGCACCCTGCAATAAGTTTGCATGCTTCTGCCACCTCCTGAAAGGATGCTCTCTTGTCTTTGTGGCACTGGTTGGAAGGGCTGCCTGCTGGGATTTCCTGAATATTTTAGCTGCGGTGTGATGACCTGGGGCTAGGCACAAAAGCAGCACAGCCGGAGTGAAGGCTTAACTCCCTTTTATTGCTCCAACTTTCCCTCCCAAAGTTCCCACAGTTCACTATAAATCCAAGAGCAGCCCTTCAAAAAAAAAAAACACACACACACACCCCTCCACTAGTTCCTGGCTGCTGTGAGTGCAGAGAAGCAGCCAGCTCTGAGAACAGACAGAGTTCAGGAAACTTGGATCCACGGATGTTTTGTCGCACAAAGGGGTTGATGGGGCTGCAGCACAACCTGAAGGCAGAGTTGTGTCACTGAGTACTTGCCCAGGACCAGGCTAAGAAAAGCAAGGCAAGTCGACCCCAGGCAAAGCAAGGCTAAGCACAGTAAGACAAGGTGGCAAGATGTCGACAAACTGTACGTGAGGCTGGAAAAAGACAACACTTGTTTCCTAACAGCACCCCTCCCCATGGCGTCTCTTTAAATCTTATTCCCCAGGTGAGCCTTGTGACGAGGGGTGGGCGTCCTCCTCTTGAGCCACCAGGGTCTCCCTGCACTGAACGCACCTCCTTTCCATGCTCAAGGATCGGTCAGGGGAAGCAATCACTCCTCCCCAGAGCTCCATTGCTCCGCTGCCTACTGTTTCCCTCTTCTTCCTCGCTTGGTTGTCCTGCGCCCTCTCTCCGTCTCTGGCCACCCCTTCAAGGCCTGAGGGACCTGGGACTGTCTCATCCTCCCCTGGTCCCTCCTCTGGGGTCGGCCCCATCTCTGTCTCCTCCTCCTCGGACCCAGGCTCCGATGGTGGGGAGGGGGGGCATGACATCCAGTCTTGCAGCTGAATGAAGGATTCCCCCCTTCCCAGTGGATGGAAGGGAGGGGAAATCCTTCATTGGGGTGCAGGACCAGAGGATTTTAACACTGTTCCCACAGACCAGTGAAGGATTTCTTCCCCGTGGAGAGGGAATAGGAGAGGAAATCTTTTGTTGGGCTACAGAAATGGAACTAAAATCTTCAGGATTTGAACTCCGTTCCTGCAGCCCAGTGAAAGATTAGACACACACACACCAGTGGACCCTCCTACAGCCTCCCCCTCCCCTAGGCACCTTGTGCTTCTTACCTGGGATTCCATCTGCTTAATATGCTTAATGACTGCAACTAGGAGTGCTGGGATGGCATTCGTTGGGCAAAGCAGTTACATGAGTGCCTTGGTTAATGACCATTTCATGCAACAACTGAGATTATAGTTCCAATTGTGGTCATTAAGTTGAGGACTACGTGGGAATAGGAGTGTGATATTCACTGATCATAGTAGCTATTTCAATAGAGTCTATGGACTATTTTATATAGTCCAAGTTTTTAGTGCAGGAATTGTAGTCTCTAGAAACAACTCAGACCTTGGCTTTCGACTGTGAAAATTAGTTCTCGGTATAGTTAGATGTGGTGGCTTCCCTGGATGCTAGCTCAGACAATGAGGAAGAGCTGGCTTTATGGATTCCAGAAGAGGATGCTGAGGAAGAACTCGGGGAGGAGTCTGGAGGAGGGTGTGGAGGAATGTCGGGAAGTTGCTAAGGCCTCCGACCAGGAGTGGAGAGGCCAGGTACATCAGAGAGGTTGCTGGAGAGGCAACCAGATGAATGGCCAGCTGAAGAAGGAAAAGGAGAGTTGCAGCTGGCTGGCCAGTGGGGATGAGGAGGAATTGCCTTCTCACTTGATTCGCAGATGCATAGGGCTGAGAGAAGAAGGCATAATGGAGATTGGCAGAGCTACTTGCAAGGCGGCAGCCTCACCTCTCCCGATGAGCTACACAGGCAAGCACCTATTGAATGAATGGAGGTTGGGTTGCTGGAAACAGCTGGCCATCTCTTGCTGTGTGCATCTTCACACTCATGCTCTTGGTTTTCTCAGCTCTGGGTTGTGTTAGGATTGACCGTGTGTTTGGACCTTGGATTTGTTTGTGGATTTCGGACCTTAGTCTTGGATTTCAGACTGGACTTGGAATCTGTGGACTGTGGGCTTTGAATTTGCTTTTGCCTTTAGATTTGGTAGCCATGTACCTTGACGGAGCAGTGTTGGACTTCCTAGGACTTTATAGTGGGTCCAAGTGGGGTCTTGGGGATTCACATTAGGAGCTTTGACTTTCACTAAAGCTCTTAAGACCTTTGCGCGTGTCAGGTTTGTGGACTGAAACAGGACACTGGATAAATTCAAAAAGATCAGTATTTAGGGTGTCTATTTTTTAATTATTAATAGTTTCAGTGTTCTCCTAATTAATCCAAACTGCTGTTTCTAGCATCTGTGAAAGAATTTAGGATTCTGAAACGTGTCCCTTGGGCAGACTTTGCTGGGTGCATTCTTCTTCCTCTTCCTCTCCTCCTCCTTCTCCTCCTTCTCCTTCTCCTTCTCAAAATGAAACACCAGCATAGACAAGGAACTCCTGAGGAGAGGAATAGAAGACTTGCAATGCTGTGCAAGAGACAGTACAACAGTGTGAGTCCCGACTACTGGATTTTCCTGTCTAACACAGGATTGGGATACATAAATACCTGGGCAACGCTGGGTTATCGGCTAGTTATTAATAAGTAGACTTAGGTTCTCAGTCTGTGATGTATCTTAGGCCAGAAATAATATAAAATTGACTTGATTTGTTTGTAAAGACACATGTTTTGCTCTTTCTGCTGCTTAAAGCCACTTTTTAATTACAGAGCAAGTTGGTGCCTTGGATGCTCAAAACATTGTCACTGTTTCTTGTGGAGAAGCCCACACGTTAGCATTAAATGACAAGGGTCAAGTCTATGCCTGGGGTTTTGCTGCGGATGGGCAGCTGGGTTTACCTGGCACTGAAGACTATACCAGAGTTCCCAGGTAAAACAAAATAATCAAATAATGTTTCAAAAATTCCTTAGGAAAATGCTTACTTTTGGATTATTTTAATTGCTTTATCTGTGTACGTTTGGGGCATGATATTTCAGCAGTTAAAGACACTGAGCTTCAAAACCCAAGTGTCCTGCCATGGGTGAGCTCTTGTTACTTGTTCCAGTTCCTGCGCACCTAGCAGTTCAAAAGCATGCTATATGTGAGTAGATAAATAGGTACCACTTTGGTGGGAAGGGAATAGCGTTCTATGTGCCTGGGCGCATAGTCATGCTGGCCGCATGAGCATGGAAGTGTCTTCAGATAATGCTGGCTCCCTCCGCTAAGAAACTGAGTTAGCTATATGCTCAAGAGTAGACAGCAAACAATTTTTTGTAATAAGCAAATACAGTATTTATAATACTGATATTCTTTATGAGATTCTAATTGGGAATTTAATGTAAAGTAGCATGATAATTTATTCATGTATGTGGACAGGACCAAAATGCAATGCATATTTGATTTAATTAGATTAACAGATAACAGATAATCAGAGTTGGAAGGGATCTTATAGGTCATCTAGTCCAACCCCCCACCCAAGCGGAAGACCCTACACCATTTCTGACAAATGGCAGTCCAATCTCTTCTTGAAAGCCTTGTGTAATGATATTCCCACAATTTCCGAGGGCAACTTCTGTTCCATTGGTTGATTGTTCTCACTGTTATTAAATTAAATTAAATGCTGATAATATTTTGTTTATTTAAAGATTTCCCTCCTTGGTCACATTCAGATTTAGCTATGGTTCTTGGAAGGTTTCTATAAGTGATATCCAAGATATACTGTACTTTTGCTAAAACTGGCTTGTTTTTATTATTGGTGTATGCACTTTTTATGTTAAGTATGAGAATAAGATAACATTATGAAGTCAGTTTCATTTTGTAAGTTGCATAAAAGCATGTGGATATTTCTGAGGCTTTAATGATTTTGCAGAACACTTGGCAATATATTTTTATTTAAACGGTTTAAATAGCATATTTTTCAACACATAGCCTTAACACTCATGCAGCATTTTAATTCTGACTATTGTAGATTTGCTATGGAACTTAACATTCATTTATTTATAAATATTTATATGCCCTTAGTGATATCAAAAATTATTTTTGAATAATTTGAAACCCCAATATAAGATCTGCATGCTTAGAACAATTATAGTATATTTGCCTTAATATCCATAAGTTCTCTCTTTCTAAGAATTAGGGCCAATTAAAAAATAAAAAGTGTGAGGATTTACTGTTTTCACCTGCAGGAGCTAAAAAAGGTTGCCTGGTATCCAGCATCCAGAGCACAAAGATTTCTGTATTGCAGTTGGTAACTGCTGTCTAGAATGATAGGTAATTTCCAGTAGTTAATAGAGCTTTAGCTCTCCTTAGTTTAGCAACATTGCTGCATTATGTCCTGTGTTTTAAACTTGGAGCAGGTTCAAAACCATTCACAGTCTATATAACTGGACTAGAAAGCTATGCTGGGGCTGCAAAAAGAGGGAAGACCGGTCTGATTCAAATATACTAATTTGTAACTGCTTGAATCAAAATATTTTGGATGATTGTGAATATTTGTTTACATTAGATCTTAACCCACGGTTTGAAAAGTTATAAGAGTAGTACTACTTTAATCTGAAAATAAAGTGTTTTCTTCCATTTTTAAACTGGTTTTAGTCTTATAGATATGTACAAGTGTGGTAAATGTTAGGTTCT